GAAAGCACCGTGGAAAACATATAGAGCACAATTTGAGCTACTGGCACAGATGAATGGATGGACAGAGGAGCCAAAAGCAGTATATCTGGCAACGAGCTTCAAAGGACAACCACTGGAAATACTTGGACAGTTGTCAGCAGACGACAGACACAACTATAGAGCACTGGTAACGGCTCTAGAATTCAGGTACGGAACCCAAAATCAGTCAGAAGTCTTCAGGGCTAGGTTTAGGACGAGAGTCCGTGCTAAAGGGGAGAGCCTGCAAGAGCTGGCACAGGACTTGGAAAGCATGGCACACAAGGCCTACCCAACTGCACCACCCGATCTCCTTAAGTTGTTGCTGAGGAGTCATTTCGTAGATGCCTTGGACAGTCCACAACTCAAGATACAAGTGAAGCAAGCACACCCCTCTACCATGCAGGATGCAATGGCCAGAGCTCTTGAATTTGAATTCTACGTTAAGTCCAGCACAGGGGTACCGAGGTTGGTACAGTCATCTGGATTCAAGGCCAGAATAGGTCAGCTTTCAGAGAGGTTTGAGGGACTTTGCTGGCACTGTAACAAACCTGGGCACAAGAGAGCTCAATGTTGGAAACTTCAGCACAGGGGAGACGATACAGCAGTAAAGGCTGCTACCAAAAAAAGGCTGTTGGAACTGTGGGGAGCAAGGACATCTGAGGAGCCAGTGTAGGAGGAATATTACCAACAAGTCGGCCTCAAGGAGACCAGTAGTGGTTGGTGTTGAGCGACGCCCAGCACAGCAAATCGTTCTTTAACGTATCTAATTCGCTTTTAAATTTACTGATGTTTTCCATTTGTACCTCTTGCCATTGTTGTTGATTTTCCTGTAGTTGCTGCTGACTTTCTTCCTGTTTCCTTTCTTGTTCCAGTTGCCACTGTTCTAATCTCTTTTGTTTATTTTGCTGTTCGAGCTGCCATTGTTGTAGGTTTTCTTGCCACTGCTGTAATCTTTGTTCTTGTTTCTTTTCTTTTTCCTCCAACAACTGCTGTAATTTATCTTGTTTATTTTGCTGTTCGAGCTGCCATTGTTGCAGGTTTTCTTGCAACTGCTGTTGTATCTCTTCTTGTTTCTTTTCTTTTTCCTCTAACAACTGTTGTAATTTCTCTTCGCGTTCTTCTTGTTTCTTTTCTTTTTCCTCAAACAACTGTTGTAATTTCTCTTCTCGTTCTTCTTGTTTATTTTCTCGTTCTTCTTGTTTCTTTTCTTTTTCCTCTAACAACTGTTGTAATTTCTCTTCTTGTTTCTGTATTGCTGCCATCAAGTCTGCTAAGCTGTAGTTTGATTTTCCGCCTCTCGTTTCCATCTTCTTCTTCTCTCTTTTTTTTCTATCCCACTTTCTGACACCAATTTGTTACGTCTCCGTTCGTTAATTAACTTTCCGTAATTTCGTTCCGACGAAACTTTAGCGACACAAGTCCTTACTTAATAAAACTGGTTTATTCTTTCCGAATACAACATTACGATACACTTATTTTCAACAATCACGCTAAAACAAACGCTATATCAACGAACGTCAACTATACTTCTGACTGCAGTTCAATTACTCACTAGGTACACACACGTTACCGTCACGTTGTCACCCTCTTTTATATACCACTCTACCCTATATCTAGTAAATGCTAGAGCATTCGCCAAAGTACAGGATAGTTCTAGAAAGTAGAGGTCGTGAGAATAGTCATGTGATCTCAATGACGCAACATTATGTTTGATTCTAAGTTTTATTTAAATAATTATGTTTGATTCTAAGTTTTATTTAAATAATTATGTTTGATTCTAAGTTTTATTTAAATAATTATGTTTGATTCTAAGTTTTATCTAAATAATTATGTTTGATTCTACGTTTTATTTAAATAATTATGTTTGATTCTAAGTTTTATTTAAATAATTATGTTTGATTCGAAGTTTTAATTAAATAATTAAATAATTTTCAAGATGAGGTATTGTTACTGGATCACTCCTAGTACTGGCATTCATATCTGGGACGTGACTTCTAATGGGACAGAATATGTCTGCATTAGGGTTTAGCTGCGGGCTCTGTAAGGGGCTTGCCATTGTCTGGGGCTGATTAAGTCGATGGTCAATGTATCCTCCTTGTGTAACAGGCTCTCCTCTTTAGCACGGACTCTCGTCCTGAACCTGGCCCTGTAGACTTCTGACTGGTTTTGGGTTCCGTACCTGAGTTCCAAAGCCTCTACCAGAGCTCTATAGTTGTGTCTGTCGGCTGCTGTCAACTGTCCGAGTATTTCCAGTGATTGTCCCTTCAAGCTCGTTGCCAGATATACAGCTTTCTGCTCCTCTGTCCATCCATTCATCTCTGTCAGTAGCTCAAATTGTGCTATATATGCTTCCCACGGAGCCTTCCCATCGAATTCCTGTGGCTTTCTTCGTGCAAGAGCTGGCACAGGACTTGGAAAGCATGGCACACAAGGCCTACCAAACTGCACCACTCGATCTCCTCAAGTTGTTGCTGAGGGATCAATTCGTAGATGCCTTGGACAGTCCACAATTTAAGAC